GACTGTGCAAGGGTCTGATCGACCAGGCACCGAGCGAGACCAGCGAGAACGATTCGATAGTGGTCGACACGCTCAAGGCTTGCGCATCTTACTCAAAGAAGTACCCGGAAGAGATTCCGCAGGACCGCAAGTTCTCGCAAGCTCTGGTAAGTTATGCTCTGTACGGCCGACCGGTCAAGTGTGCCAAGTACGCCATCAAGATTCTCCTCGCCAAGGGAGACGAGAAGGGACTTGTAAGCGCTACAGGTCTATTGCAGAAGGTCATGGAGGACTGGAAGTACGGCTCGCCTCACTTCCTTAACAAGTTGCAGGCTGTCGCGCAGCTGGAGCTCCAAGCGCCCAAGATTACCTTGGACGCCGATGACGATATTCTCAACATGACGGTCCAGCAGATCCTGCTGCAAGTTCGAGGGGATGCTTCCGACAAGGACCCTAAGTGGGTTGAGGATGCCGACATGGACGAGGAACTGCAGGCAAAGTGCTTGTCCTTGCACATCCTCGTCAACCGCCTCCGGAGCATGCAGAAGGCCGAAGAGGCCCAGGAAAAGGCGCCTCCGGTCTTCAAGTTGCTCAAGACCTTGGTTGTCAAGAGGGGAGAGCTCTGCAAGACGAAGGATACACCAGAGCACCACAAGTCAAGGCTTCGCCTGCTTGCTGCTCAGCTTCTGTTGAAGTTGTGCACCATCAAGCACTTCGATGACCTGCTGACATGCGCCGACTTCGATCGTTTGGCCTTCACTGCCCAAGATCCTGAGCTCCAGGTTCGGAAGGGCTTCATCGAGAAGCTCCAGAAGTACCTGGCCCGGGGCAAGCTTCGCGTGCGATTCTACACCATCATCTTCCTCACGGCGTTCGAGCCCAACTCCGACTTGAAGCAACGTATCGAGACCTGGATTCGCTCCCGCGTGCGCGCGTTGGAGACGTCCGAGCAGCGTCCCATGGAGGCCATCATGGCCAGGCTTATTTCTTTGCTGGCACATCACCCCGACTTCAACAGACTATCTAACCTTGCCGAGGCCAGCGAGGAGGACCGAGCATCTTATGCTAGCGATCTGGCTGACCACGGCCGGTACATCCTATACTACGTTTCGAACGTGGCTACCGAGGGAAACCTGGGTCTGATCTTCAAGTATGCTGAAAGAGTGAAGCAAACTCGTGACGCCATCCATCCCGATGAGAGCGAGAACCTGCAAATCATCAGCGACCTGGCTCAGGCCGTCATCAGAAAATGGCAAGAGAGGAAGAACTGGAGTTTCCAGGCGTTCCCGACCAAGGTCGGCCTCCCTGTCGGTCTTTACACCGCTCTGCCCTCGCACCAGGTAGCCCAAGAGATTGCCGAGAAGCAATTCCTTCCTGTGGAAATTGACGAGAAACTTGACGATCTCTTCAAGTCCATCGATAGGAAAAAGGTATGAATATCCCTTTGACTTTCCAGTATCTCGCTGACAGCCATGCAGAAGCGCAAGTCCATGGACGAAAGGGGAGATCGTCAACCGGCGGCGAAGAAGGCTAGGCAGATTGCTAAGGTCAAGGAGCCTAGGCCACCCAAGCAGCCAAAGCCTCCCAAGGTCAAGAAACAGGCCGCTCCCAAGAAGCCCGCGAAGATCAAGAAGCGCCCAGGCTCTGACATACCCGAGGAGAACCGGAGGCGTAGCGGAAGAGCCACAAAGACTTCCCAGTACGCCGAGCGCGACTCGTCTGATGATGACAAGGAGATGTGGGATGGCGTACAATCGTGGGAGTACATTGAGGGCGCACCAACGCCAGAGGCGGAGGGTTCCGCATCGGAGTCTGAGGACTCGGATAAGGACGGCGACTCGTCTGCCCTCTCAGACGTTCCAAAGGGCGACGACGAAGAGGAGGACGAGCCGGTCAAGGAGACGAGTGGCAAGGCAGAGGAAGATAGGGAAGATTCCCCGTTGTCAGACCTTGACGAAGCTGCTGCAAAGTCAGACAAAGAGGAAGAGGAAGAGGCCGACGACGAGGAAGAAGAGAAGGCCTCACCTCCGCCCAAGTCCAACGGACGCAAGGGCCGATCAGCGGCAACTTCCAAGGCAGCCGCAAAGACGAAGCTGCCGGCCCGTCCCGCACCAAAGGAGAAGGCCGCTCCCAAAACGGCAACCCGAACATCGGCGCGCAGCACACGGGGAAGGCCTGCTCAAGAATCGATGGACGTTGATGACGACGAATAGCTTGGTGCATGAAAAAGTTTGCGGTTCAATCTCTTAGGTTTGTGTAGCTTTGGGCTTTCTTGCGGGGTGGATATTCCTCTGGCGGTCGGGTGTTTGAGTGCACGGCTGGTGCGCTGCAATTGCGAGTTGGTAGCTTATATATATCGTTCATGTGCTTCCGTTTGAGCGGTCAATATACCCCTTAATCGTGTGTTTATCGTGTTTTGTGTCGCAATTAATGCTCGAGTGAGTGTAAATGGCCTAGACTATGCAGCCGACCGCCATCTCTGTGCCGTTGCAAACGGTATAAGCGTGCCTGCCCGATTCGGTGTATGCCTGGTCATCCGGATCCCACCAGCGCCGGGACCGGTCCTCCGAGTGTCGGTTCTGTCATCCCGATTACAAGGAGTCAATCACAGAATGATGCCATACACCACAAATTGTTCTTAAATGAACAAGACAAGCGAGCGTCGTATAGTTGGCTAGTTCTCAACAATTATCCAGCTGCCCAGCCGTTCGTCTTTCTTCATGTATGCGAGGACATTGACCTGTGCTCTGCGCACTGCCAACATGTCGCTTGGTGCCGGTGCCAGAACGATGGCTACGCGGGCACCAAAGGAGTTTCTTTGCATAATGCCGGATAAGCCCAACGTGCTGCAAGTCCGCAAGCAAGTCAAAGGGTAATATATCTCGTCTGCATGGCCGCCTTCTGGTCGCTGCTGACGCCCAGAAAGCCAGCATTACGAAGGAATCAAGCCCCTCATCGAGTCTGGGAGGCTAGTTGCCGGAGGTACGATGTTGTTCCCCACCGCCCCCATGAAAGGGTCACTGTGAATTGAGAGTTGGGCTTACGGGCTCGGGCAGGGGCAATGTTCGATAAACATCCGAACGAAGACGCCACGGAGGCCTGTTTCAGGGGCAGCGTGGTGGTGTATACCGCGGAAAGCCTAGAGGATGTCAAGGCTATCATCGAGAACGATGTTTATGCTACGAGCGGGGTCTGGGATCTCGAGAGGATGCAGATCATTCCTGTGAGTTTCGTCTGTGACTAGGCTGAAGAGCGGCTGGCTGACTTGTTGGATAGTATGTGGCTGCTGTGAGGCAGCCTCTCTCGTCATGAGAGGGGCCTATGGGACGGAGCACGGTGGCCGCCGAGAAGCCTTGGGACTAGTACAGGGAAAGAAGACCTTGAGACATCAGAGACTCCTTTTGAAGAAAAAGCTCCAGGAGAAAAGACAGGTTCATCGTCACTTCTGGAAAATATCTGCGTGGGAACGATTGGCTGAAATCTGGGCTATGGACGTCTTGTTTGCTGCAGCAGCATGTAACGGTAATAAGTCTTGGTCTATCGGTAGATCCAGGACTATCTTACTGTTGCCCTTGTCATCGTCCTACTCGCAGGTCCTATCGATGCTCCCTTCCTTACTGCCGTTCATCTTGGTAGACTTTGCTAAGCACTCTTCCTCCGGATACTTCGTCATGTGTTCTTGAATCAATTGGCGTAGTTTCATCTTGCGGAGGTAACGAGCCAGACGCTGCGCCCCATCCTTTCCGCGACTGCCGTTATCGTACGGATTGGCGCCGTAGTCTAGGAGAAGCTCTACCATCTCGGTATCGTTGCGTTCACATCTGATCGCCTGTAGGAGAGGCCGAGAATCAGTCCTCGTCCGGGGATGACTTTGCGCTTTCAGGTTGGGATCGGCGCCGTGCTCGAGGAGAAGTCGTGCAGCCTCTACATTTCCGCGTTCGAGTGCAGATAATAGTGGAGTGCTTATGAACATGGATTGACGGGTTGAATGTCGGTGATACCTTATGGCATTGGGGTCAGCACCGTGTTCGAGCAAAAGCTTCATGGCTTCCAAATCTCCTTTGCCACTCGCAATGACCATCGGGTTCAGATGATATGTGTCCTCCCGACCGCGATGTCGACACTGCACGTTGGCTCCTTGTTCGAGGAGAAGCTTTGCAATCAATATGCGACTATGCTGCGCAGCCGCCATTAGTGCACAGCCAGCCGAGTTCAGTGCCGTCACATCAGCGACGGAGTCTAGCCAAAGCTGAACGACATCCGCGTGACCCTTTGTCACTGCGCTGACTAGTGGTGAAGCCAAGCTTTTACCAGTGGCGTTTACATCAGCATCATGATCGAGGAGATGCTGGACAATGTCTGTATTTCCACCCCAGGCCGCCGCAGACAGAGCCGAGGCAAACCTCTCTCCTCCTGCATTGACATCGGCGTTGTAGTCCACAAGGAGCTGGACGGTGCCCATATGACGATTCTTGGCCGCTGCTGACAACGCGTTGCCGTGCTTCCCAGATAAGTTGATGCCAGCGCATGCTCCAGCAGAAGCCGTACTATTTCGTCATGCCCATCTGAGGATGCCTGCTGCAATGGGGTCATGCCTGCAACAAGTCTGTCCACGTCGGTTCTGTCGTTAGCAAGCAACCGAACTAGCACTGAGTGAAACCCAAGCATAGTCATCAAGTAGACACAGGTCTTGTCCTCGACTAGAGTGCCTCCTGCAAGCTTCAGGCGTCCGAAATCATTCACATCGAATTCTAGCGGTTCAAAATTGTCTTCTTCCAAATCCAATTGATTGAAACCGCGATCGAAGCGAAGGTGTTCGAATACTATGGTGCGAAGTGACGACGAGACTTGGAAAAGTCGCAGGACTCGATCTATCAACGCCGGCGTCTCCTTGCCTTCTGTAAAGTGCATGTACCAGTTTGAATGTGCGTATTCATCCAGCGGTCCGCTGGCGTCATGTATGAGGCTAATGAAATCCGAGAGCCTTTTATGTTCAGCATTCAGAACGGCCAGGCAGATGTTCAACATCTCGACTTGGCCGCCGTGGCCTCTTGCGCCACGGTTTTCTGGTGCAATATTCGATCGGACTCGAGATACTCCTGAACAGAAAAGTGAGCGATTCTCACATAGGTTCGCGAGTCCGACATCTTGAACGGTGCCGTGTAGACCTCCACCAAACCAGGGCAGGCTTCCTCAATGGCCTTTGCATTTTCAAGCCGACGGTCTGGATTCAATGCCGGCTCAGGCTCAAGTTCAATCGCAGCGCACTCAATGACTTCCGACACTGTTAAGGGCCGTTTGGCACAGCAGAGAGCCGTCAATATCCGCTGAGAGCACTCTTGAGCATGCTCCGGAATACCAAGGAGCATTCGCTCGTAGGTTTCATCCAATGTCTTGGGCAGAGACTCGAGCAGCTTGCTCAAGTTGTGAGGGCTCACGGGACAGCTGCCAAGCGCTTTGAACTGACACTCAACCCATCTGAATCTGTAACAGAGTTAGCTGCACTGTCTGCCGGTGATGGTGAGAGGTAACCAACACCCCGTTTGCGCGCTTCGTCAGCGCGTTCTCGATGCGGGCAAATTCTTTGGACCACTTCAACAAGCGGGCAGTCTTGTGAAGATGTTCTGATATGTAGCGAGCGATATCCTCGTCCACCGAAAGGTTTTTCATCGTGACATGTTGTTTCGAGGATGGGTCTAGCGTTTCTCGAATATCGGTCTCATCTCGACTTGTCACGAGGAGGTGGAGCCCTGGCTTGTGGCGTAAGAGAAGCAGCGTTTCGAGCACAGCCTCGCGGTGTTCGTCGCGCGGACTTTCGTCGATAGCATCTATCATGATGTATGTATCCTGGAACGATCTGGAAAGCTTGAGGAGACAATTAATCAAGACTTGGTCTGGTGGCGTAGAGTTGCGGTAGGTGTCTCGTAATCGCATTACATAGTTGCAGCCGCTATTGAGTTGGCCAAAAAGCTGTAGCACCAAGGAGCGCAGCATGGCCGACACACTCTGCTTGCCGACATCGGTGAAAGAAAAGAAAAAGAATGCGATGGCGACTTGTGAGTTAGACCTCCGGTGTCGAAAGGCGTACTGGATGGCCGTGGAGCAGAGGACAGATTTGCCGCAGCCAGCAAAGCCGCTCAGCCAGAGAAACGAGCCCGGTGTTTCGAGCCATGACTTGTATGCGGGGCCCTGGACAAACCACAGGCCTGTTCCGGGGTGCTTTTTCTTACAGGCTTCATTGAAGTCGATCGTAGCGTCAGGGGCTTTCAACCATTCGAAGACTTTATTATCAACCTGGCTGGCCCTCACTAGGTCCATCAAAGTCTTGATTTCCTCAACTTCATTCCGAATATTGCTGGTGTCATTCAGCTGCAGCTGTTGTGATGCAGAAGACATGCGACTGAAGACCTCAGCGACATCCTCTTCAAGCCTTCTCAATGTCTTCTCCCGAAATGGGTAAGCAAGCCGTCGACCGAGGGCTTTTGCAATAGCCAGAGTGTCTTTTGGCTGTAGATCCCCAAACTTTTCTGTATGATTACGGAGATCTTCAATGCAGTCCTCGCATTCCTGGACATGCTTTTCAACCAACGCCAAGACATGAAGGTCGTTCGAGCGGTATTTGCGGTCCTTGAGCTGGCGATTTAAGCTATCGAGTAGCTCTAGAAGACTTTCCAACTTTGTGAGAATGTGTGCGACATCCGACTCCGCGTTTGCAAAAGCATTGTAGTAGTCGTAAAGCGTCTGTGTCACTTGAATACCAAGCGAGACGATTCCCACAGCACTCCCGGCAACCGACAATGGATCAGACATCGCGAAGAACGTTTACAATAAATCAGGCATAGTAGCCGGAAGAAATAGAGCTAATGTGTTGGTGCAGAGAGGAAATTCATCACGTTTGTTAGAGCGAAGGTGAGGCTGGCCGCAGCCTGCTGCTGCGCCTTAGCGCCAACATGAACGACGGGCGCAGCCTCCATTTCATTCGTTGGTTGCCGAAGACGACGTTCACGGGCAGCCAATAGGAGCAGCGCTTAAGTATTTCAAGACGGTGGCCCCTGAAGCTTTTGTTGGTATGAGTCTGAGGGCGATGAAGGCATCTGAAACCTGCCGTATCGAGCAGGGTGTGATTAAATTAGGGCTATTTGATTTTGAACGTTCTCGCCACAGGCGAGGAGTATGTTAGATAGTACTTGTTCACGACGAGTGTGCCGATCCGATATGCCGAGTTCCGGTACCATTTGATCAGCATCATGTATGCGTCGTCATTGATGGTGCCGAGCCTGATGGCCTCGTACCGTCCAGTCTGTATCCTTTTGAAAACTTTTGGTGCATCCAAATCCTCCTTACTGGGATACAGCCGAACTTCTCCGCCGTTTGCAAGTCGCATGCTATGGTTGGAACTGTCGGAAATGAACGCCGTCCTTGGAACGGCGGAAGTGTGAATTAGTAGAGCTCTTGGTTGAGAAAAGTTCTGGTCCGGACTCCGCGGATCAAGTTCAGATAATGGTAATGTGGTGCCGTCCTCCAGGTACAGCTGAATGCTGGCCATGTCGACACCCTCTGGACTATGGATGTTGTTTGAATCCACCGGGTTTGGCCAAGTGACCGATCCTTCCCATCCCGTCCAGGACCAGGAAGGGAACTGCTTGCGCCGCCTTGTGGGCTTGTATAGCTCATGCCTCCAGGCCAGCGCGGTCAAAAGGTAACCCGAGTAGTCCACATTCCCTACAGACGCAAGTATGTCGTCCTTTGGATGGAAGAATGGTATACCCCATATCTGCCGAACGGGAAAGTCTGTCGTCGACTCTAGCCTCTTTATGATGCCCCCAAATGCATTCATACCGTCTTCGTCAAAGCTCAGTATTCGTCTTGAGTACTGCTCGGCGCATTGTGTGTATGCAAGAAATTTGTTCAGCCTAGATGTCTCGTCGTATTTTGCGGTCTGGGGCGTCAAATGCTCAGATCCGAAGAGCGAACGGCCAATGTAGTCGTCAAGGTGTGACCTTCTTTGTCGATACAAGGCGTCGAATGAGACTCGCAAACTCTCATGGCAGTTCATCGAACCGCATTCGAAGTAAAGTTGGTCTCGCGTGAAGATGAGGCGTCGGCTCGATAGGACAGCCTCCTGATACGTCCACCCTCTTGTCGCCCACCGAGAGTCCAGAATGCTCTGCTTCGGGGATGGAAGGGCCGAGCGCAAGTTGAATCGCTCGTGGGGGAAGAAGCTTTGTTGTGATGGCCGCTCGGTGGACACGCCAGGCAAACCACAAGTCTCATCGTCTCCAGCAGCGGCGACGATTGTGAGAGCCGCATTCTGATACACAAAATCCATGTGCATAATCTGCTCGTGCTTCTTACCGCTGTCGTGCTGGTCAATACAGTACTTATCGACCCAGAGGAAACGGTAGCCAAGTGCAGCGGTAACCTTCATCGCATCCTCGATGACCCTGGGCGGATTCTTGGGTAATGACGTGCCCGTGTCCGTAAAGTCCAAGAGGCTACTCGTACTCTTTCCCCACACGTAGCTGAGCGCCACGTATTCCGGATGACCTTCGGTAGGGAGAGACTCGACAGTGATGACGCTTCTGGTCTCGCAGTCGATAAGTCGCATGTTGGGCAGGGCGCCCTGTCCGCGATGGCAAGCCGGGTGGTACTTTTTGCAGCAGTTCAGCCACTCCATGACGACCCGAGCGTTGAACTGGGGCGTGACGATGCGTGGAGAGAACAACCTTGTGTTCTTTTGTATCTCCCGATGCCACATGACGAGTCCCTGCTTGGAGATGAGCTTCTCTAACCGCGAGTTGTCCCTACCGCCTGTGTGGGTGAAGTCAGACGGCACGACAGCAAGGAAGAAGTCGGTCAAGTCCTCCGCCTCGAATAAGTACCCGGTGTCGCCTTTCCAGAAGCCTTGCCTGAGCGACCGTAGAGCAATGTGCGGCACAAGAGGGAAAGCTCGGAGTTCTGCTGTGTGAACGGAGCCGGAGGCTGCCGGGTCGATTTTAACGTACAGACGAGAGAAGAGCTGACATAGATCGCAATCGCGAGGGTCCTCGAAAGTCTTGAGTCTGGCGAGAACAACACCATCTACGAGGGCGGACAGAGTGTGCCCCGGAAGGCGTTCCGTGGCTCGCCAAATGTCTAGGTTGCGGCATGCCTGGCATCGACTAGGCATGGTGTTGCTGACAGAGGAGGGTGCTGGCGTGCTCAAGCGTTTGCTTGATAGGGAGAACGACGGAACGAACGATCGCCTCAGGAGCTGGCAAGGCCGAGTGTTCAGTAAGGTTGTGGTCGTGAACAATGGAGCTTGTCCGTTTGTTTCATGGGCTTACCGAAAACCCCGTCGGTTGGTTGCCCATCGGGAAGCTGTCGCCGTCGGGGGCCATGGCGAATAAGTCTTGATCTCGTGTTCTCCTGTCGAAATGCGTATCTTTCCTGTTAGAGAACAGTCGTCGCTTGAAGGATATTGTGGCTTCCATCGACGACGTTATTAACTCTCGGTATAGCCTATCGACTGGGACTGGGGAAGTTGAAGCCGGCGTCGCCGTTCCGTAAAGTGCATTGGTAAATTGGGGGCCAGAACGATGGAAAAAGGAAGGAATGCTGACTGGAGACTGGAGGTGGTTTGGCCCCTTGCCTCGGATGGGATTTCTGGCTGTGCCTCATTCCCACGCGATTGGCTATCTCCACCGGGGATGGACGACTAGCGTGGAAACCACTTTCGGCAAGAGAGATGAAGGACGGAACGAGTGATGATGTCTTCGGCCGAGCATGGCTGCCACGACTGTTTCCCCAGTTTAACAGGGCGTTCCACAGCTTCCAGAATGGCACTGGACCTTTTATCCCCTTGGCCAAAAGTGGAACACCCATGCAAGACGAATCCCAATTTCACACGAAATTGTCAACCACGGTGAACCGCAATCATGTTTTCCTGTGCTCTGCCGCCGCCAAACTTTCATCAGCAAGCAATGTCCCGTTCCATTCGTTTGGCCGCCGGCCGCGAACAGGTATCATATTTTGGAACACAAGTGCTCAGGTAAATCGCCCCAACAACCACGGCAAAACAAGAAAAGAAAAACCCCCAATGCCAAGCCATGGTCTTTGCGGACTCACGGATGCGATCGTCCTTTCTCATTGTTCTTCGCCCTCTGCGTCTTTGCCCTTGCCCGTCATACTGGACACCAAGTCCGCGAACCGGCCCTTCGCTGCCGCCTGGTGGGTATCAAATCTCGGCGTTCCTGCTGGTGTAACGGCCGCGGACGTCCCTTCGACCACGTTGGCGACCTCCTTGAACTGCTCGCGGTCCTTGACGAACCGCGTCAGGTACATTGTCGTTTGCCTCTTGGGCTTGGACATGATGCGCTCCACCTCGGCCTCGTATGCCTTGTCGTAAATGTTAAAGTCGACGTTGGTCGGAGATTCAGCCACAGCACCCGCCGACGGCTCGTTCTTGTCGAACTCGTCTCGAGCACCGATCCCGATACCAAGGATCAGCGGCTCGTTCTCCGCCTTTTCGGTCGCGTCGCTCTTGTCCGTCGCACCGCTGCTGCCTCCCTGCTTCTTCATGAACTCCTGGCGCTTCGCGATGAGAGCCTCAATCTCTTCTGCGCGAGCCCTGTCCCTGTCCTGGTCGATCAACTCATTACCGCCATCACCGCGTGGCGAGAGCGTAGAGTTGCGACTCTGCCTGCGCCTCATGAGGATGGTCTTGAACTTGTGGATCGCTTTCATCTACACTAAGGTTAGAGACGTTCTGAGACAATGCCAATTACTACTCACCACGCAGAGAAGATGGTTCATCTTCCGCGTAAAAGCACGGTTCAACTCGAGCTCGTTCGGGAGCTCAATGAGGGCCGCACAGTTGTCTTCTTTGGAAAGCAACAAATCTGTCCCTCCCTTTGTGACCCAGGCATGCTCCTGAATCTTGTCAGCAATCTCGGCGGCGGCGAACGTAGTAGACGGACAGCACGTACTCTCAGCTCCGCCATCGGGATGCGCTTCTTCGGGTCCTTTTCCAGAATTCTATTCATGAGATCCACAAAGTCGGGATCCTCGTCCTCGGGCAGACGAGTAGACTCCGTCTTGATGGCTTCGTACATTTCCAGTACGCCATCGTGCTCGAAGGGGATCTTGCCGTATCGCAGGCAGTACAGTGAAACGCCCATGGACCAGATATCAGCAGCTTTGCCGTCCACATCGCCGTGCCTGACTACGCAAAGCTCAGGAGCCAAGAAGGCCGGGGAGCCCGCGGACTTGGCAGTCATCATGCCGTCGCCAGGCTTCTCGAACATCTCTGAGACGCCGAAATCGACAATCTTGAGGACGTCGTCCTCAGTCAGCAGAAGGTTGTCAGGCTTGATGTCGCGATGAATGACGCCTTGTTCGTGCACTACTGCGCATTAGCCCTGCCGGCGGTGCAAAAACTAGATCACTTACAATACTCGATGCCTAATATCAAGTCCCTGAACCAATAACGACACGAGTCTTCGGGGTACGGTGTGGCCGTCTCACCGAGTCCGACTTTCATGACTACACCCTTCTTGCACATCTCAAGGACCATGTACAGGGAATCCTCCTCTGGGTCGTCCAACACTTCTATGAGTTGGACCAAGTTCGGATGATTGAGCTTCTTCATGATGGCAATCTCTTGCCTGATGAAGAATAAGGCATCGCTGGCACTGGGGCTTGGGTTGTCTCCGCCAAAGTCGCCAAAGTGTGGCGACAGCGGCGCATTGAGACTTACACGGTGGGCGAATCGCTGGGGTCGACGAGCTCCTTGGCGGAGAATGCTGGACTGGGCTCGTTTGCGAAGACGGACCTTGGAGAACTCTTTGACGGCCTACGAGGTGTGAGCTTGGCTCTGGGCAGATGACGGAGCGAGCCCATCTTACATATCCGGTCCCAAACTGGTCTGTCGCGAGGTGCACTGCTCCATACGAACCTCGACCAATCTCCTCTTTGATTATGTACTGGTTAATACGGTGGTTGCTCCGTCCGTCCTGGCCCTCGCTGCCATATTCAGTCACAGCATCGAGGGTTTCCTGCTGCTTGTGAGTCCCTGGTCGCTGATGACAGACAGGGCAGCTACCCCGCCCCCACCAACTTGGGAGCGCGGCGGGGCCAAAGTTTAACAACGCTGAGCTGACGCACCTTGACTTCGCGATGAGCCGACGGCGTTCGACGGTGATGTCGCAAGGGACTCTGGAACTTTGTTGGCTGGGCGGCCGAATCGGATCTGCTCGGCAACACGGGACGAGGTTAGAGCTGCGTGCTTGTGGAGCGCGGGGGAGGCAGTGCAAGTTGCAGCGCGCGCAACGCAGCGAGAGAGGGAAGGGAGGAGGGAGGGAGGCTCAACAAGGACCGGCGCAGACGCACATGTGGTTAGCGAGTGGCGGACGAGGTTCCGCGCCGCCCTCTTCCACGGTAATGGTGGGCGAAGTGATGCCGCCGGTGGTCGCGAGGGTTGCGGAAGCCATGGCCGTTGCTGGCGGGCTCTGGAGTTCGCCGGGTTTAGACATTGTCGCCTCCAGCGCCAGGCTGTGTGTGTCGTGCAAAGCTGGAACGATGGAAAAGAGAGGAAAAGGCGAGCTGACGGTTTTGGGGGAATGACGGAATTCGAGTTGGAGAGCACCAGGTGGGGGAGAGAGAGCTCAGCTGAGCTACGCCGGCTACCTAATGTGTGTGCTCAAGCCTTGTTGCGACCGAACCTGACCCGACGTAGACCAAGGTGGGTGGGAAAACCGAAAGCGACCAAGATAAACCAGCAGAAGCAAGGGCTGGAAGTTTGGGAGAGCGACGACTCAAGCTTAAAAAAAAAGAGGAACACCGCAGGTGGGAAACGACGCTGAGAGGGGGGGAGAAAAACACTTCCCAGCCCGGCGTCATGTTCAGCTGTGTCGGTCCAGCCCCCACGTCAGGCCCGGTCCAAATCCCCGGTTCCCAAGGCTTCGAGCATCCATTTCGCTGCCGTTTATCCATCGGCGATCCCATGGACCGCGTAAGGCTTTCGAGCATCTTCAGACCCAGAGCTTGATGCCATTGGGCGCGTTACAACAGCCCCCAAAGAGGTGGGCTTGCCCAGGCTTAGTGGCTTCCTCGTAGGGCCAGCGCAAGACTGCGAACCCCTCCTTTTTGCAGCAAGCAGAAACCACAAAAGAGGCGCCGTCAGGACACAATGGATCTCGTCCGGGGCTGGGAGGAAGAGAGCATTTCACTCCCCACTGAGAGTGCCCCGCCACGGGCTGCCCCTGCACACACCTAATCGGACAGGCTCCAGGGTCTCATTGCGCATTCCTAGGTAGGCCACCGAGGCTCGGCCAGAGACGTACCTTAGCCTGGGGGGTGCCACTGAGCGTTTGCTCATTCGCCAGGCTCCCGACGACCGTTTCCCAGCGACATCATCTTGGGCCTGCGATACCCTGCGCGCACACGACAAGAGCTCCCACAGCTCGCCAGCGACATCGAAGCGACAATCCTTCAGCCCAATTCCAGACCACGAAGCTTCGACTTGCGTTGCGCGACCTCCCCAAACGGAATGGGACCTTGATCCCGCACGCCGCACGCCGCACCTCACCGACGACACCACCACCACCACACTCCACGTCGAATCGCCCATCATGGTCGTCTACTCCTTCTACATCTTCGACCGGCACACGGAATGCATCTACAGCAAGACATGGCTCCCCGCCAACCGTCCGGCCTCACTACCACCGCCCTCGAGCTCCGCCGGCCCCGGCGCCGCCGCTGCCGCCCCCTCGCAGCAGCTCCGCCGCGCCCACACAAACTCCGCCAAGGACGACGCGAAGCTCATCTTCGGCACCGTCTTCTCGCTGCGCAACATGGTCCGCAAGCTCGGCGGCGACGACGACGCCTTCATCAGCTACCGCACCTCCGGCTACAAGCTGCACTACTACGAGACGCCCTCCAACCTGCGCTTCGTCATGCTCACCGACACGGCGACGCTGAGCATGCGCAACGTCCTGCACCAGATTTACATCAACTTATGGGTTGAATATGGTAAGACTGCATCCGTGGCAAACCGGGAAACGAAACACACGATGCTGACTAGCCGTCTCTGCAGTCGTCAAGAATCCTCTAGCGCCGGCCGAGCACAAGGGCGGAGAGGGCGTCAAGAATGAGCTGTTCGAGCTGGGCTTGGATCAGTTCATCAGGGGTCTGATGTGAGCGCATCGACTGAAAGCATAGTGAAATTACAAAACCAAAGACACGTATGGAAGCTTTGTCCAGCGGGACAACCATCAGAGTCCTCCCCCTAAGGAGGTCTTCTGTTACGATCAGGGCTCGGCCACGGCGCGACCAGGAGAGCAGCGAACATATCACCAAACCCCACGATAGAGGCGAACCATAGAGACCGGATGTGCGACGGGGTCAGGAGGATACCAAAAGAGAAGAGAAAAGGAACGGAGCCGCCGTCTCTTTTCAGGCCGGCCCGCGCTGTTGGTACAGATCGAGATGTCCATCTATCTCTCGCCCATAGATTATACAATGATACCTATAATTCCCGTTCAAATCACCCTCGCCTCGCCATCCTTCCAATCCCATGATTCTCATTAAAAAAAAGGTCATATCCTTAGCAGCATGGCAACCCCAATGGCTCCTTGCCGTCATCTCACTTCTGGTCCACCGCCCTACCCCACGCGCTCTCGAAACTTGTCGCTGGGTCGACGACCACAACGCTTTCCTCGCCGGTCCCCTGTGTCGTCGCCTGCGTCTGCTGGCTCGGGATGTTGGTCGTCGCTTGGCTGGGCCTCGACGGCACCTCGCTCGCTCTGACATCCACGGCGCTGGCCATGATGCCCCCCTCCTCCTGCTGGATCTCGTTCTCCCAGTTGCTGGAGTACACCACCGCCGCGAAGCCCTCCAGGTCGCGCACCTGCTCCATCTCCTGGAGATACTCGTTCGGCATGCCGTTGCCAATCACGTGCGCCTGCCTGGTGAGCACCGAGAGGATCTTGGGCAGCAGCACGACCTGCGAAGTGCGGGGCTCCGACTGCGCGAGGTCCGGCTTGTCAAAGGCCGCCGAGGCGAGCTTCTTGTCCACCAATGTGGAGAAGCCCGCGTCGAGCAGAAGGGTGAGTACGTGTGTGAAAGAGGGTGACTCAATCAGGTCCGAGGTCTCATCGAGAAGCCTCCTGACCGCGGGCGACGACGCGGGGGACTGGGACGTCGTGCTTTCGGAAAGCATGACGGTGCTCTCTTCCAGGATGCCAGACTCACGGAGGACATGGTCTTCCTTGTTGCGCGGCGGCAGCAGGCATGGAAGCCACTTGGCCTTGCGACGCTCCTCGGGCGTCGCACCCTCAACATTCTTGCGCACCGCGAGGGTGAGCTCGGAGAACTGCTCAAAGCTGAGCAGGTCGCGCGGGCTGAGGTGGCCAAAGACTTGGCGGACGGCAGCCTCGACACGCTGGCCAATCTCCTTCCATCCCTCATTCAGAAGCCACCAGCTAAATGTCAGATATCGGCGGTTGGTTTCAAAGTCGTTGCCGTAAGGCTCAAGGCCGTCGTCGTCGTTGTTCTCGAGGCTGATCGTCGCCTGCGCGGCACCTGTCGCGAGGGAAATGACGCTCGACAAGTAGCTGCGTCGACCGAGAAGATTCAGTTGGACCCTCGTCAGCATTGTCAAAAGCGCAAGCGTGTACAGCAATGTGAACGCTCTCGTGATTGCTGCCCGGCCCCCACGTCAGCAAAAGAGGCGCCCTTATCACTCTGATCGGTGTCGATCCACTTACAGCTAATCGTCAAGTCATCCCACAACTGCCTCTTGGTCTTCCTGGCCTTCTGCGCCGCCGCCGCACCCGCGGCCCCTCCGTCTTGCGCAGCTGTGCCCTCCCCGGATGTTGCGGCCGCGCTGGGCACCGTCATCTGGCTCGCGTGCAGCCCGCTCTCGCTCTGCACGCCGCTGCTGACCACGCTGCGGCCATCGTCGTCGGCGGTCATTGTGGTGTCCGCAATGCTCGGTGGGCTCACGCTCTCGCCGCTGCCACTCTTGACGCTCTTGGTCTGGCCCTTCATCTTCTGGATCTCGTACGTGATCTTCTCCGTGTTCATAGCCTCGAGGATGCTGGTCGTCGCGGAGGGGAGGAGCGCTAGGACCGTGAAGGTGCAGTCTTCCTGGTTCTGCTCGAATCGGCGGCGGAGGCTGTTTGAGGAAGCCGTTGTCAGTTCTTGATGTCTTCTTTTTGGGGGTTGCCGGTCGCGGGTGGGATGGGGATGAGAGCTCACTCACTTCTCCTTCGCGATGCGGTCGCTGCTCATGCGCTCCCGCGCATCATTGATCTTGCCCAGGACATAATTCGTCACGACGTATCCTGCACCGACGACTCCTACGCCGATGGCGAGAGGCGTTCTATTCCGGCGGAACCATCGCCGGGTTGCGTCAAACATGGTGTTGGCGCTTCCACTCTTGTTCTCGAAGCTTTCCGTTGAATACTAGTAGACCAAATGAGGCACAGAGCTCTGTGGAGGGCCTGACCGCAATTGAGAATGCAGTAACACCCCCAAAGACCAGTGGTGTGAATTAAAATCCAAAGCAAAACTCTCCGAACCCAGGGGGCAGAATCATATGAAGAAAGAAGAGAAAACCGGGGTTCGCTAATCCCCACGAAATTGGCATCTGAGAGGGAGCAATGTCTGGATCTCCAGGAAGGCTGGTCGGCAAACGTAATGACTTTTGGGGGGGCAATTAAGCAGAGAGACAGAGGGCAAGGTAGCTCTCCCAAAGTGTCGTGGTGGACCGTGATTACCTCGGCCCAGCCACACCCACGCGATAGAGACCACGGCACACGTTGACGGTTGAACACGCATCACGCTCCATGACTGGCCCGTGGCAGGCGCTGCCCTGTGGCTGGAGCGGACACCCTGAAGCGATACCTCCGTTACTGACCTGACGGTACCTTACGGCGTTACAATAGGTAGGTAACCTGCCCGCTCTATCAGTGTACGTACTGAGTACATGTGCTGCAGCCGCCTTTCTCCCCGGGACCCATGACCGGGAGCCTTTGGGCACTCAAGAGTTCGGGGTAAACGCATCCCTGCCATCTAGCGCCAACTGCCCCCCTCATCAGGTCCCCCCCCCCCTTATCGGGGCAGGCTGCGGCGGCGGGCTGCGGCACATCAGTCTGCCCCTCAGCACCCAACACAGAGGTCCATCTTCTGACATCCGAAGGGGGACTTTCAGTAAGTCCATCCTCAGAACGTTATCATCGCCCCTTGAAGCAGTATCGTCACCGAACCCTCAGCCTACGACGGACGCAACAAATATCGAGCATAACTACCTCCCCGCACACGATGCAGCAGACGAATCCCCCAGAGTTTATCCTCGACGCCTTTGCGGACCCAGCATCCGTCCGGGACGTCGTCAAAGGTACCGTCTTCCCTCATTCCCATGGCCCCGGTTTCCCGCCCCGCCAGACGTCATATACCTCAACGACACGACGAGAACACATCGCCTTTGCGCCACGGGCGCGACACCCTCTCACCCACCAAAAACCCATGAGCGGCATGCAGTAAGGATGGGGGACAAGAACTAACCTTCTCAAACGGCAGGAATCCTCCACACAATCTTCTTCCACCGCTTCTTCCCCGCCGTCGTCCCCTACACCCGCGAGGTCCTCGACCTGACCCTCCCCTACGTCGACGACGTCGAGCTCGAGACCATGATCGAGCAGCGCGCCACCGCCCTCGTCCGCCAGCTCGACGCCGAGCGCTCCTCCACCAACACGGCCAGCGGCGGCAGCGGCGGACGCGGCCAGCTCAACGTGCAGTTCTTCGAGAAGAAGCGCCGCAAGGCTTGGCTCATGCGCGGCGACGAGGAGGTGTGCTGGGAGCTTTGGACCTTAAAGGTCACCGTCGCAGAGCCTCGAACAGAGACCGGTACGTGTTGTCTTGGGAGAGATGAGCGTGGAAAATTGGGGATGTAGGAAGCTGACAATGTTGCTACAGAGAGGGCTAAGGTCCGCAAGGCCATGGAACAGACGCTCATGACGACGGTTATGAAGGTCATCACCTTTGTAAACGCCCACAAGGATCACATCCCCCCCATAACGACGCAGGGCTCGAACCCGTTCCCGTATCAGATCAACATCAACCAGAAGGAAGGGGGCTGGGCCACGAGAATGGGTATATATTGACACGTATCATGATATCAAGGGACGATTGGGAGTGTGATTAACGGGCTTAAGCGACAGCAGTTGCTTTACGGAATCAACGGAAGCGAGTATACGAGGAAGCATGTAATCAAGGCGGCGTTAGGAATTATATGGGCTGTGGGCATAGACTTGTCGGATTTTGAACTAGAGCAAATCAATATGATACCCGTTTCTGAGTTACCTTTCGTTCAAAAATCGCGCATGAATTCACTGTTTAACATATTCCGAAAGGGTATAGGCCAAGAGCATGCGAGAGAGCGGCCAGGAGGTACCTTTTCATCCAAACCAGCAGTCACAGTCCGGACGAGGGCGGACACGAGAGAGCAAATCGAACAATTTACTGCAGTCATCTGACCGACTCAAAGAATGTGATGATGGCTCATACTAGCATTTGACACTAACTGTCCTCCGTGTGGAGGGAGCTAATCTGCAACGCATCCAAACGAACATTTTTCGTACAACAAAAAACACACAAAAAGCCATTCGGCCAAAAAGCAGTTCCCGCCAATCCATAGTGTAGCCTTTGCTTGATCCTGTCCACCGCGCAAATCAAGACCGGGGGCCTTGAGAGAAAAAAACACACCCAAATGTTCCTACCAGAATCATGTCCCCAATAAGGCAGTATGTGCCGCTGCTTCGTCATTATCATAAAGCAACAATCATGGACAAGAAAAATAAGCCGCGGAGCCCGTATCAGACATTAGTCTTTAAAGTCAATCCAGCCCTGGTTTTCCCGCTCCATTATCGTGTGGTCGAAACAGTCGAACGCCTGAGCATCGGACGTTATGCCAATAAGTATGTTCATACATCGTAACGGTCGTCATGTCTCAGTATCAATGAGACAAAGAAGCCTCATGGGAGAGATTAGAATTGCGTGGTGTAGCTTCGTCCAAAAGCAGGCTTGCTGGGCTTGGAGCCTGACTGCTTGGGCTGGGAGCCCGAGCCAATCTTCTCAAAGCCCTGCAGAATGTCGAGCCCCGAGTACTCGTTGGGGTCGTCCATGAAGTCGGCGGTGTCGAATGTGAAAGAGGGCCAGTCGCCCTCGGCCGCAACCTCGTAGAAGGACGAGGAAATCTTTGTCGGTGAGGGGAATCTCCACTGGGAGGCGCTGTCGCCGCCCTTGATGGGAGATGAGAGCCCATCAAACACCTTGCTGGGGGTTTCCCACATTGCAGAGTTCTGCGCGGGGGCCTTCAGGAAGGGGGTGGAGATGACCGACTTGTTGGAGTCTGTGGCCTCGGCCAGAGCGCTGGCAGAGTTGGTGCGCTCAATACGCGGGCGCTTCACCGACTTCTTTGATGGCGACTCCTGAGGGAGGCCGTCGAAGAAGTCGTTGTCCATGTCCTGGAAGATGTCGAAATCACCGGCAGCCATCAGGTTGTAGTTGTAGATGTTCTCATCCAGGTTGAAGGCGGGGCTCCAAGGCGCATTGCCGTCCATCTTGCGGAGTGGAGACTGGAGCATCTGGCGGACATGGTCGCGGTGAAGACGGAGGTTCGTGTTGGGCGATGCAGACGGCGGTGCCTTGGTGGGCGGCTTCAACTTCATGGCCGGAGTCAGAGGTGGCAGCATCTGTCCCTGCTGGCGGAGAGGCGACGAGGACGGTGGGGCGAACGCGTTGTACGACCGACCCTTGCTAGGGCTGTCGTAAGAAGAAGCGCGCAAGCGAGCGATCTCGTCCTCGGCCCTGCCGGCACGGCTGCGCTTGCGAGGGCGGTCAGCCTCCGAAGTGAGGATGCCGGTCTTGGGCTGCCGCAGCGCCGAAGACTCGAGCGATGAGATGTAGCCGCTGTCGTCCATGGAGGCAAACTTCCTCTTGTGGGACTTGGTAATGGAGGAGAATGGGCCGCGGCCGGGCGGCGGAGGCGTGCGGCTGCGGGGCTCCATGTGCCGCGGAATCGGCGGTGAAGAGTGCATCGTGGGCGGCAGGGGAGAGCAGTCCTGATCCAGGCCCTTGTCATGTCCATCCTCGGGTGCGGCCGAGTCGGAAACGGGAATGGTCGCGTCGGATGAGAATTCGACGGCCACGGTAGCCTGAGACGTGGGCAGAGGCGGCAGCGTCGCGTGGTTAATGGGTGCCGGAGGCGGCAGAGTCGGCTCCTGGATAGGGACGTTGACCGGTCTTGAGGGCTCCATTCGGGTCGACATGACGGGGACGTTCTCGGCGGTGGTCGCGGTCTTCCTCGCCGGCTTATCCTTCATGAACTGCTGCTCCATGCCCTCCTGGATGGTCCAGTAGTTGCCTTTTCCTGGGTCGTCCTTCGGCCGCTCCACCTTAATGAAGGCTTTGTGAAGACTGAGGTTGTGTCGAATGCTGTTCTGCCATCCCGATTCCTCCGCCTTGTAGAACGAGTACGTGTCGGAAATCCACTTGTAAATCTGGGCGAGGGTCAGACGCCTTTGAGGAGACCGGAGAATGGCCATGCCGATCAGAGTCGCGTAGCTGTGGCCCGGTTTCGTCCCGTCGTCAAGGATCGGAGGAAAGGAGTCGTGTGGTGGCAGACCGGACTCGTCGGCCTTGACCTTCTTGAGCGGTCTTGATTCCTTGATAGGCGCGGCCTCCATGAGCGTGCGCTTGCCGGGTGCCTTGTGCATGTAGAACTGGTCAAAGTTGATTGTTGGCGGCGCGGGATATAGCTGAGGGTGGACGTTTTCCTTGCCGAACCCAGCGGCGAGATCTACTACGGGTGGCTTTTGCGCGACGGTCTTAAACTTGGAGAGGTAGGGCTTCTTGTGAAGCGAATCGGTGTTTGGTGTCCTTGCGGAGGGTGGCGCCATGGGAACCATGTTGAGTCTGTTGCCTTGAGACTTCAACGGGGCGAGAGGAGATTTTTGGTTGCCTGACGATGCCTTCAGAGGTGAGTGTCTGTCGGAAGCGAGTGCTGGCGGGTTGAGGATTACGTTGTTGTTGCTTGCGGCGCCGAGCGGTCTTCTCGGGGGCTTCGATGCGGCGGGCATGGGTGCGTGGTTGATCATTGCTGTCGAGTTCTCGAAGAAGTCGTCTTGGAAGATTTGCAAGGGCTCGTGAGAGCCGGCGTAGCGTGTGGGTTTGGCCATGTCGGCCGATTACTAGACGTGGTCGATGTCTCCAACCTGGGTGAAGTGCTGGGTTTGGGTACGGGTAGTGGGCTGAAAGTGGGAGGGCATGTCAGCGCGCCGCAAGGCATCAGGTTAGATAAGTAGTCGCGGTGTGCGGTCGTGAATCTCCCGGGCTGACAGGGCAGGCTTCCAAGGTTCTTGACCCGAACGGGGTTTCGCATGATTGAAGGGAGGAGAAAGAGAGAGGAGACTCATGGCTCACCTTGGTCGGGTCTAGACTCTGGAAATGACTTGTGGGTCGTGAATGCAAGGGGGGCTTTTGGCGGTCAAATTGTACAGCGAAGCAACGACTCGCGATCTTGACCGACGGATCGATAGACTGAAGATGCGATATCTGATGAGCGGTGGTGATGTGTGTTGATTTCCGGAAGGCGGACGATGAGGTGCGGTGAGTGTGTGAGTGTGAGTGGTGGTGATGGTATTGGTGTTGTCGTTTGCGAATGCGTGTGAGTGCGACAGAGACTCTTGTGGCTGCAAAAGGTTGAAAAGAAAAGAGGGGATATCAGGCACGATAGCATGCGAGGGAGAGGAGGGTAGGCAAGATGTAATAGGCGGCGGCGGCAGAGGCAGCGGCACAGCGGGCAGTGAGGAGAAGTACTTCCAAGGCAAGAGAGGCAAGTGTTAAGCGTGGTTAGTGTATGAGCGAAGGTGGTGGTGTTGGTGGTGGTGGTGTGGGAGGGTCGCGGCGGCAGTGGGAGGATAAGGTACTTAGAAGGCTAGGTACTCAGGAAGGAAAGGTAGGAGTGGAGAGGCCCGGGTTGTACTTGACTTGTCGAAGAAAGAGGAGGACGGCCAGCTCAGCACGCCCAGAGATGTCCGGGTGGAGCACTCTGGAGCACGGGAGGAATGGGCGATTGGACGAGAGGAGCGTGGGCTGTGACACGACCGACCAAGCTAGGGTACGCCGAAGGTGGCAGCAAGGGTGTGTGGTGTAAAGTGCAGACTGAACCGGGATGCGGATGCAGGGAGGGTGAGGGTGGATGGTGTGTGGTGAGCGAGCGTGAAAGTGCAGCTTGATATCGACCGGGGTGCGTTCTCTATCCCAGTGTTCCTCGCTCGCTCGCACATTCACTCCAGTCTCGTCAGTCGAGAGTCAGAAGAAGCGATGCAATGCGATGCGCCGCGATGGATGGCGACCGTTTGCTGGAACACGCCGACTCTCCGGGAAGAGTCTGAGATGCTGCGAACGGCCAGCAGCGAGCGAACGGTGTCGGGGTCGGTGCTCTTCTCGCCTCTGGCTCTGGCTATGGCTCTGGCTCTGACCGTAAACTGTCAGATGGCGTCGAGGCAGAGCGTTTGTCCCTGCGTTTGCTTGACCGTCGCGAATGGCTTCGCGGTCGCGATCGTGGTTGTCGCAGGCGGCGGTGCGGTCTCTTGCAGCACGCTTCCAACGCCGTCCGGCTCCAGTTCAGGTCGAGCGCGGTGGTCACTGGAGTCTGGTGGTGCTGACAGAGAAGAAGAGATTCCCAGCTGTCCCCAACAGGGCTCCTCCCAGGTTCAGGCTTGTCAGACTTCAGGCTCCCCGTTGGGAGGGGTGTGCGCGCGGGTTACGTCCGGCAGAGACTTGGAGAGAGAGGAGCCCCAGGTGACGACGATTGTACGAAATGTGAATGGACGAGTTGACGACGTGGACAAGACGGGAAGGCTATGCATTGCACATATGCAAGCAGGTTTTGCAGTTCATGCGAGACTCCGTCCACAGACCCGCCTTTCAATCTTTCAATCAGTAGGTTTTTTGCCCACCTCAGACTTTCGTTTCGTGCCGTCCACGGAGTGTTTCCAAACGCTGCTGGTTCTGGCGGATGCCCCTCTGCGCCGTTCCGGGATGGACGCTGGAGAAAAAAAAAGCTGGAGTCGTGATGCAGCTTGACAGGCCGTGAATG